GGCTTGTTTATAACTTCCGTCGCCATGTGCGCCGGTACAAATTAATACGGTATTATTACGGTATTATTACGCGTGTCAGCGGTCACTTCTATAGAACGGACACACATCCGCAAAGTTCATTTTTTACTGAAACAACAACGGTTAAAAAAAACGACAACAATAACCAACAACAGCGACAACAATAACAACAACAGCAACAACAACAACAACAACAATAATAATAATAATAATAATAATAATATAAGAACAAATTTAACAGCAACAACAACAACAATAACAACAACAATAATAATCATAATAGTAACAACAACAACAACAACAACAACAACAACAACAACAACAACAACAACCACCATCACCAACACCAATAACCGACGACCATCTTCCTCTATCGCTTGTAGTGACAACAGCCGCACGTGACGAGGTCTTCCGAGGTCCCATCATCGTCTCCGAACCGCCCTCTAGCGTTCTCTTCACGAACTCCACGGGCGTCTCTCTACCCTGCTACGCCTTCGGTCACCCGCCGCCGGAGATCCGCTGGTACGCCGCGGACGGTGGCGCCGTCGTGCAGGATATAGCCGGACTGCGACGAACGACCAGTAATGGGACGTTGGAGCTGGAACCGTTCGACACGCGCTACTACCGTGCCGACGTGCACGCGACCGTGTACCAGTGCACGGCGACGAACAGTGTCGGCGTGGTGCGCAGCCGACGCGTGCACGTACACGCAGGTGAGTGTTGCATGCGCGCGCGTACACGCGGGAGAGTGTTAGGGGTGTAAACGTACATGCGAGAGTGTTGGATGCGCGCGCGTACACGCGGGAGAGTGTTAGGGGTGTGAACGTACATGCGAGAGAGTGTTGGATGCGTGCACGTACACGCGAGAGTGTTGGATGCGTGCACGTACACGCGAGAGTGTTGGATGCGTGCACGTACACGCGAGAGTGTTGGATGCGTGCACGTACACGCGAGAGTGTTGGATGCGTGCACGTACACGCGAGAGTGTTGGATGCGTGCATGTACACGCGAGAGTGTTGGATGCGTGCACGTACACGCGAGAGTGTTGGATGCGTGCGCGTACACGCGGAAGAGTGTTGGATGCGTGCACGTACACGCGAGAGTGTTGGACGCGTGCGCGTACACGCGAGAGTGTTGGATGCGTGCACGTACACGCGAGAGTGTTGGATGCGTGCACGTACACGCGGGAGTGTTGGATGCGTGCACGTACACGCGAGAGTGTTGGATGCGTGCACGTACACGCGAGAGTGTTGGATGCGTGCACGTACACGCGAGAGTGTTGGATGCGTGCACGTACACGCGAGAGTGTTGGATGTGTGCACGTACACGCGAGAGTGTTGGATGTGTGCACGTACACGCGAGAGTGTTGGATGCGTGTTCACGCGGGAGAATGGTGGATGCGTGCGCGTACATGCATGCAGGTGAGTGTTGGGTGTGCGCGTATACGCGGGAGAGGGTCGGACGCGTGCACGTACACGCGAGAGAGGGTCGGACGCGTGCACGTACACGCGAGAGAGTGACGTATAGCTACGCGTGTGCGTACACGCGAACGTGTATACGTCCAGGCCGGCGTGTGCAAACCACGCACATGCGCCTAAGTCTACAGCTACGAGTCACATTGCGTGGCGTGTCGCCTTTCGAGTTTAGATTCGATATCAATGAACTGTACGCTGCTACACGTATAATAATAACAATGATTCATGCTCGCTGCACGAGTTATTATTTATAACTATTAACAAGTTTTCGGACGATTTTTCAAATTACGTTAAGAAAGCGCTAATGGAAACCGTAACCCTTGACAGCACGCAATATCGCAGTAGTTCGCTGTAGTTGTGTAGAATATTTCTGACGGTTTTTTTTTTCGCTGTGCGTAAGTGGGTGCATTTCTTCGCGTCGTGTCGCGAGAGAGCGAATGTATGAATTTCGAGTAATTGCGTCATCGTTATTAATGAAATTGCATTATGTTGCGCTAATGACGAAATATCTTAACTGCCGGGCAAACCCTACCAGCCTCTTCACTCTCTTTCGCTGTTGTTCGCTGTATTTATTTCTCGCGCTCGCTCTCGCTCTCTCTCTCTCTCTCTCGCTCTCTCTCTCTCTCTCTCTCTCTCTTTCTCTCTCTCTCTCTCTCTCTCTCTCTCTCTCTCTCTCTCTCTCTCCCTTCTCTCACTCTCGTCATTTCTCTCGGTCCTGTTCGGCACAACGTCCTCGTGTCTCGTTATATTAGTGAAATGCAGCGAGATCGATTAGTTAGCGAGTATAGACAGAGGCTAGTAGCGATGGTAAGCTGGAATTCTACACCACGAAATGACGCGGGTTGCTGTCAGAAATCGCACGTACGCGCTGCGTGTAATTCGTACCACACGTAATGCGGACTCATTGCGTCTGTCTGTGTCTCCAGGGTCCCCCCCACCTTTCTACTACCCCCTTTTTATAACCACCCC